ATATGAGAAAATAAACATAAAAATGAAGTATGTGAGAAAGAATATTACTGATAGAAATGAGAAGGCAGGGGTGTGGGGGCGGCACCATGGCATAGTAGGTTAAACCCGGAGCTCTGCCATCCGATAAGGGCACCGGTTCAAGTTTCAGCTGCTCCATTTCTGATGCAGCTCCCGGCTGATGTGCCCCAGAAAACAGTGGAGGACGGCCTAGGTTCTTGGGCCCCTGTACCCACGTGGGAGACCCAGAAAGAAGCTCCAGGTTTTTGGCTTTTGGACCAGCTCAGTCCTGGCCGCTGTGGTCATTTCCATTGAATGGAAGATCTCATTCTCTCTACAAATCTGCCTTTCAGATCAAAATAAATCCTAAAGAAAGAAAGAAGATGCTGAAGGGAGGAGTCTGTGTAGTGCAGTCACTGAGACGCAGCTTTCGGTGACTGTGTCCAAAGTCAGAGGGCCTGGCTGCCCAGCCAGTTCCAGGTTCTCACAAATGCGTATCCTGCTGATGGCTCAAGTGCTCGGGGCGTTGTTGCACTCATGAGAAACTGAGATGACACAGAAGTTCAAGTTCCCAAGCCTTGGCCTGGCCTGGTCTTGGAGGCATTGGAGGAGAAAACCAGAGGATGGCAGTGTGTGCTCTGTGTTCCTTTAAAAGTGTTAAAGTAATCTTAAAATATGGATGGCCTATTAAAAAAGATTTGAAACAACCAGTGCTGTGCCTTAGTGTGTCCAGCTACCACCTGCAGTACCAGCATCCGATATGGGCACCAGTCGATGTCCTGGCTGCTCCACTTCTAATCCAGCTCCCTCTTCACATGCCTGGGAAAAACATCAGAAGATGACTCAAATGCCTGGGTTCCTGCCACACACGTGAGAGACCCAGAAGTTCTAGAATCCTAGCTTTAGCCTAGCCCTGTCTTGGCTGCTACAATCATTTGAAGAGTAAACTAGTAGATGGAAGAGTTCTCTCTCTCTCTTCTCTCTGGAAGTCTGTTTTTTACATACATACACACATGTATGCATACATTTTTAAAAACATTTGACCAAAGTTCATTTTCAATGGACAACCTTTCTAGCTGTCCCTCCGTGTCCGTGACCCATTGGTGCCAGGACTCCTTCAAGGAGACCCTAATCTGCAGCTGTTCTCAAGTCCTTTACGTAAAGCAGAGTGGTATTTACATAAAATCCTTGCATACTTTGTATAAGCATTGGACTACTTACAATACCTAATGTAAATTTTCTGTAATTAATTATATTGTATATTTTCAAATATTTTCTATCCCTGAATTGAATCTCTAGATATAGAGGTCTGGCTGTATATTGCCTAAGGGTCTTTCAGCTGTCACATTCCGATACATCCACCACAGTGTGCCAAAGTGCTTATGTTCTTGAACTTTTCCCAATACTAGCTATTAGAGATTTTCCCTGTTGCTTCACTCCCACAAATGGGCTCTGCTGAAATCAGGAGCCCAGAACTCCATCCGGGCAAGTGGGTGGCAAGGACCCCGAGTACTTGGGCCATGTTCCCTCTAAATTCTCAACATGTCATAGGTGAAAATACTCCAGTGTTTTTAGTGTACAAATCCTTTCTCCAACAAAAGCCCTGAGAGACATATAAGGACAGGGGATTAAATTCTATTATGACTATTAGTATATTCTTACAGAAGAATCTAAAACAATCCAAAATGACAGGCTAACATTGGGTTTAGATTCATCTAAAGTTGAATGTTATGGGCAGCAAAAGTTTTCAAGTATCATGGGATACCATGATTACTAAATGCAAACTTAACTACATTAAAAATATGAAGATATCAGATAGTAAAAACTAGCTTTTCTCTTAGATTCAGAGATAGATATATTTAGACAGCTGAAAACAGTGCCCTGTAAATGATGTTTAGTCTTTTTGACTATTTCCCCTAAGGGTCTCAGAAAGGAATAACCCAATTAGCGGGATGTTTTGACAGAGTGATTGATTGTAAGAGTGATTTCTGTACATAATATTTTTTTGAGATCTATTTTATTAATATTGAAAAGTCAGATTTATAAAGAGGAGAGAGAAGAAGCTCTTGCATCCAGTGATTCACTCCCCAAGTAGCCACAACGGCTGGAGCTGAGTCGATCAGAAGCCAGGAGCCTGGAGCCTCTTCCGGGTCTTCCATGCTGGTACAGGGACCCAAGGCTTTGAGCTGTCCTCAACTGCCTTCCCAGGCCACAAGCAGGGAGCTGGATGGGAAGTGGGGCCACTGGGATTAGAACCGGCGCCCATATGAGATCCTGGTGCGTGCAAGTTGAGGTTTTAGCCTCTAGGCTACCATGCCGGGCCCTGTACATAACAACCTGTATAATTCAGGTCATTATAAACAACGTTATATTACTTTAAAGTTGGCCAAGGAATTGTTCGGCAGACCAAGAGAGTAGGAAGGCCTGAATTGGAGTAATAAAACATTCTTTGATCATATGAATCCCTAACATAGTTTTGATTATACTAATTAAATGAGTCTAAGAATGCCAATACCAGATATTAATGATAACAAAAAATGCTACTACCATCTGACTCATCTAAGAGTTTGAATTGCATAACATTTACAGACGCTACCATAATACAAATGGAAGAATTAAAGAGCAGATGTCTCTGCAAGGCCAGAAGTTCTCGCAGTGTGCCTGAGTTCTTCACTTTTCCCTTGCTGTGTATGTCCTGGCCCCTTCAGCACCACAAGATGCTCATCCCGAGAACTGCTCTGGTTCCGCAGGACAGAGGCTGCACATGCTACGTCCTCCAAAGCGCTAAGCGGCTGTCCTTGACTTCACCGTCTTTGGCGTCACCCTCCCTTGCCCGTTTTCATGGCTGTCGGGTTTCCTGTTGTGTCCCCTGTGGTCCTTCATCATTGCAACATTCAGACCTCCATCTTTAGTCACGACACAGGGCCTGAGGCTTAACTAAGCTGCTGCCTTTCCTTGTCATTCCTTTCTGCCAAAATGAGATCCTCTGAAATTGTTTTCACTAAAAATTTTCATCATGATTTGAACTGTTAAATGGTTTTTTTTTTTTCATTCCCAGCATTTTAAAGTAAAGATTATATGCGACTTCAGGAAATACAAACAAGCTGAGGAAAATACTCTAGCAAATGTATGACATATTCAAAATGAAAACACTGATGCTTCACTGAGGAATCCATCAAATTTTATGGCAAAGCTGAAAATGACAGAGCTAAAATGGCTACTATGGAACATAGTCCTAACCTATTGACAATTATATGAGCCCTTCCTGGGACAATCTGCATGTGCTGGACAGGCCCCAGAAGGACCAAAGCAATTCGCATATTCTGTGTGACCCAGTTTCTTCAGCAACTGTAAAAACCATATAAATGTGTGAGTGAAAACTTTTTTAGTGATGGTAAAAGTACAAAGGCATTAAGAATGTTTTTACTGGTGCCACTCAGAGAATGAGAGGCTAAGCTTCCGTTTGTAATGCCGGCATTCTGTGGGGCTCGACGTCAAGTCACAGCTGCTCCAGTTCCCAGTTTATGGCCTGAGAAAGCAAAGAATGGCTCAGCTCCTCGGATCCCTGCATTGACTTGGGAGATTTGGAGGAAGTGGCTCCTAGCTTCAGATAGACTCAGCTCTGGCCACCGAGGCCAATGGAGAATGAGCCAGCAGATGGAAGCTCTGTCTCTCCTCTCTGTAAATGTACCTTTCCAATAAAAATAAATAAATACATAAAGGGAGAGTTAGAAGAAGAGACAGAGAGAAAGATCTTCTGACTGCTGGTTCACTCCATAACTGGCCACAATGGCTGGAGCTGAGCCGATCTGAAGTCAGAAGCTCAGAACCTCTGCCGGGTCTCCCACACAGGTGCAGGGTCCCAAGGCTTTGGGCCGTCCTCGACTGCTTTCCCAGACCACAGGCAAGAAGTTGGATGGGAAGCAGAGCTGCCGGGGTTAGAACCGGCGCCCATACGGGATCCCGGCACGTGCAAGGTGAATAGTTAGTGCCAGGCCTGTAACCCTCCTTTTTGAATTAAAACAAAACACCAAAGCTCTTATGTACTTGTGTAAGCCAATGTTCAGTAAGACATCGCCAGTCAACTTACTTCCTGCTTTTAATACCTATTGCTGTCCCACAAAATATCATTAAGATTTCACATACAAGAAAATGTATTATGTTGGGCCCAGTGCTGTGGCCTAGTGGCTAAAGTCCTCATCTTGAATGCACCACGATCCCATATGAGTACCGGTTCTAATCCTGGCAGCTCTGCTTCCCATCCAGCTCCCTGCTTGTGGCCTGGGAAAGCAGTGGAGGATGGCCCAAAGCCTTGAGACTCTGCACCCACCTGGGAGACCTGGAGGAAGTTCCTGGCTCCTGGCTTCAGATCAGCGCAGCACCTGCAGTTGTGATCACTTTGGGAGTGAATCATCAAACGAAAGGTCTTCCTCTCTATCTCTCCTCATCTCTGTATATCTGATTTTGCAATAAAAATAAATAAATCTTAAAAAACCATATTCTTTCATGGACTCTGTGGAGCGTGGAGCCAGTTCGCACCTTCTCTTGTGTTAGCAGGGAGCTGAGCCCTGGCGCCATCATCCTGGGTATCAGCGGGAAGCTGAACCGGAAGAACTGAAACCAGAATCAGGAAGTGGGCATCCCTGATGGGGCCCATCACCCACCCCGTCCTCCTAACTTAAACTGTAAAGAGAGAACACCGCTGTCCCCTTTAGTTACCATATAAGCTTACCCCTTTTTTCCTAATCACACATTTCCTCAAAGTAACACTAATGTGGAATTGTGACACAAACCTAGTAGGGGAACCAGGTTCTAGATGGTTCCTAAGCATGGTCTTAGATAAAGCATACAGCCAACAGGTGAGTTTCACTGAATGTGTGGTTTGGCTACTTATTTCAAATGAGCAATATGTACTTGATGCTTTGTGATGCTTTGGAATCGTATACTTCAAACATGTAGTAACTACCAACTAGAAAATATCACGAATATAGCCAACTCGAATATGGATGAAGAATTTATTTCTGTATGTCCCTAGAACGATGTCAAAGCAACAATAACCAAATTTTAGCACAGTGAACAGCATCACGGTGGAATTACTAAGATCAGTACAACATTCTTATTAACGCTGATTCACATGTTTATTCTGTGATTTTTCTATTACAGAATCATGCCTTCTGTTCCTTAAATAAGTCTATAATTTTCGGAATCATCTGTCCAAATAGACAAACACTGGGAGGAAACAATTGCATGTAACTATTTTCTTAAAGGATACCTAGTGACTTGGTTCCATAATAACAACACGCCCTTCTCTTATCAGTTTTTATCTTCAATGACATAAGAAAGGTCCAAAATCAAATTGGCTGTCTCTACAGCCACCTGTAGACCACCCAGCTTAGCAGTCAAACAATCCACGGTCAGGCTGCTGGCAGAATCTGGAGCTGTAGGTGGGAGGCAGGCGTGGGGTGCAAACGGAGGACATGCACTTCCTAAATAAGCCCAGCTGAGTCCTTCCTGGCTGCTGAGTAACCCACAGCCGCAGCGGGAGAGCAGCTCGGTCCAGCCGACCCCGGAGGGAGGATCTGCCTGAACCGACCAGCAGTGTCCATGCCTGGTATCCGTGAGAGTTCCACCTCCGTCGTGTTCCAGGGAGCTGGCGAGAGCCTCGAGGGCTCTGCAGAAGGCTTCCGCGACTAGCTCCAGCTCAGTCCGAGTACCCCCCTCGTCGCTGAGGATGCCAGCTGGCTCCTTATGAACCTAGGGTTAACAAACACACACACTGAGCAATTTCACGTAAGAACATGTCCGGAAGTCACCTGATTTAAAACCTAGTTCACAAAGCTACCACTTGGGCCCGGCGCGGTGGCGCAGTGGTTAAGGTCCTCGCCTTGCACGCCCGGGATCCCATAAGGGCGCCGGTTCTAATCCCGGCAGCCCCGCTTCCCTTCCAGCTCCCTGCCTGTGGCCCGGGAGAGCAGTCAAGGACGGCCCAAAGCTTTGGGACCCTGCACCCATGTGGGAGACCCGGAAGAGGCTCCTGGCTTTGGATCAGCATAGCATCAGCCGTTGCGCTCATTTGGGGAGTGAATCATCGGATGGAAGATCTTCCTCTCTGTCTCTCCTCTCTGTATATCCGCCTTTCCAATAAAAAAAATAAATCTTAAAAAAAAACAAAGCTACCACTTACTTTCACTGCTGGCCAGACAGCAATCCCTTCACCTGGGTTATGGTAGTAAAAATGCATGCAACCAGGTCCCAAGGCTTTGGGCTGTCCTCCACTGCTGCTTTCCCAGGCCACAAGCAGGGAGCTGGGATCAGAACCGGCACCCAAATGGGATCCTGGCGCATGTAAAGTGAGGACTTTAGTGAGGACTTTAGCAGCTAGACTACCGTGCTGGGCCCTATGCTAAGGGTGCATGTAAAAAAAAAAATAGAATTTAAACTGGCTTTGCTAAAAAGCTCATGACAGAAATGAACTCTTAATGACTTAAAAGCAGTGGTCACTTCCATTTGTGTTCAAGTGAGAGGTCTGACCCATGTGAGATAACATCTGGTACGTATTTCCCTCATTTCGTCCCTAGTGTATTGTTTCTACAAAGTCCTCCTTGAACCCTTCCCCTGTCCCACAGCCCTTCTCTATGTTACTCACTTGTAGATTATACTGTCTGTTCAGAATGAAGGCAAAACTTTGCCTTTCATGATGTGTATTCTGGTGACTTTCCATGAGCAAGCTTTATCCTTTAGCCTATTTGGGAAAGCAGGACTGGGATCACCTATGAAAGTCTAGTTTCTGTTATACCAGCCACCCGCCGGAACTCGGCAAGGCTCCCCGACGCTTCACCCCGCCCGCCCGATACATCTGCTGTGCATTTCTGGAAAACACAGCTCTCTGTACCCATTTCCAAATAAATAGATTAGTACCAGTGAAATAACCAATCAATTACAATGCACTAAATTCCTGTGACATTTGTCAGCAGTTTGGTCAAAACACTCTACCTAGTAGAATAAACATGTATCATACAGTTACCGGCTGAAAATTATAAACTCTGATTCTGGAATGTTGTACTAAATGAAAGTAATTATTTTCTTGATTCTCTAGAAGGTACTGAAGTATTTTGTAGAATCTCAGCCTTTTTTTTTTTTTTTTACATTTATTTTTATTTGATAGCCAGATTTACAGAAAGGAGGAGAAACAGAAAGACCTTCCATTTGCTGGTTTGCTCCCCAAAGGCTGCGACACCCGAAGCCAGGAGCCAGGAATTTCCTCTGGATCTCCCAAGTGTGTGCTGGGGTTCAAGGTCTTGGGTCATCTTCTGCTGTCCCAGGCCACAAAACAGGGAGCTGGATGGGAAGTGGGGCTGCCGGGATTAGAACCAGTGCCCATGTGGGATGCCAGCACTGCAGACAGTGGATCAGCTTGCAGAGTTACTGTGCTGTGCCTAACCTCAGCCTTTCCATTGTAAGCATCAGGTGTGTTGCAGCACTTAAGACCTGGGCACTCTTACCAGCAGAATGCAAAGTTCAACATGCAGTCCATGCAGACAGAACTCAAAGAATGTGATCATTTGCTAAAAGAGATTTACAGCAGTCATAGCAATGAAGGTATTACTTTATATTTACAAATGTTATCTTCCTCCAAGTAACGGATTTAGACTAAACATTCATTACTGGCGGCCCGGATACTGTTTGGCTTTATGACCTTGTAGTACAGAAGCTGCTGAGACCTGAGATGATCTGGACGGGGGCTCGCTTACCTCGTGTCTGATATATGCAGCCAGGTGAGTTTCAGTACAGCCGCCTCCTAGCAAAACCCAAGGCTCCTTGAGCGTCAGCTGCAGGACATGCAGTGCTGACTGACACGTGAGCTGGGAGAGAACCAGAAACATGAAGGAAACGGCAAACAGCACTGGGAACGCAGAAAGCCTGATCCCCGATCGCGAAGAACATTATCTGCTTTGTCAAGGCTGAGTCGTGATGAATACATTTTGGAATAATAAAGAGACTAAAGAAAGATAGTATATTTTCATGAAGCCAGTTTAATGTTTTCTTTCCTATACACTCAAGTCTTCAAATTGTGATTTAAATACATACGGCCTTAAAAATCTATGAATTTACAGCCCGTGGCACTTCAGTGGTAGGAGTTTGGCTCACAGGTCAAACCATTCCTTGGGGCACCTCCCATGTCTGAGTCCCAGCTCTGGCTCCTGACCCTGCCTTCCTGCTGATATATGCCCTGCAAGATACCAGCCCACATGTCCTGAAGTCTTAGCTTTGGTTCAGAGCTCCTGACCCCAGCCTGGCTCACGCCTGGCTGCTGTAGGCTTAGAGTCAACCAGCAGAGCAAAGAGCTCAGTCCTTCTCTGCATTGCTGCTTTCAAATAAACACTCAAGAAAAATGATTTCATTATCTAATTAGTTGTATAAATGCTACATCATACATTTCAAACTGTCTGGGGGGGGGGAATAATACAGCTACAACGAAGCACTCATAAACATAGACCTCTAATGCTCGCCAAGGATGTCGCTCTGAGTATATGTGAATTTTCAAATTGTTACCAAGACCACAGACTATCCCTTATATTAACAGTGCATGTGCTACTGTTGGCACAGAACAAATCCCCAAAAGAGGAATGATCAGGGCTGACTTGGGGAGCTCATTTTCATGTTTTAAACTTTTTAAAGTTTATTTGAAAAGACAGAGAAAGAGAAGCAAAGATCTTCCATCTGCTGGCTCACTCCCCAGATGGCCAGAAGAGCCACAGATGGGCTGGGTGGGGCAGATCCATGAACCAAGAGCCTGTTCTAAGACTCCTACATGGTCAGTAGTGGGTCCAGGACTACTACTTTGGCCCATTTTCTGCTTTTCCCAGGCCATTAGTAGGAGGCTGAATTGGAAGTAGAGGAACAAGGACTCACACTGGCACCCACATGGGATGCCAGCATTGCAGGCAGGGTCCTTACCTGCTATGCCATCACCAGCCCCAGGGAGCTCATTTTCTAACTGAATTATTCATATGTTAGTATAAAAGAATAGGTAAATCAAGCTAATTTCTCTATTTTACATGCAAGAATCTATTAGATTGTTTGTAAATAGCATGTGAAGTCTGCTGATTGACTTCTCCCATTTTTGCTTCTGCTTTCTAAATCACTGTGGCACCGTGTTTTAAGCTGCCACCTGCTTCGCCGGCATTCCATAGGAGCATGGGTACAAGTCCTACCAGCTCCATTGTCAGCCCAGCTCTCTAATGCCCCTGGGAAAGTAGCAGCAGCAGGTGGCCAAGTGGCAGCACCCCCATCACCCACTCAGGAGGCAAGGGTGAAGCTCCTGGCTTCTGCCTGGCCCCGGCTTTGGCTTTTGCAGCTACTTGGGGAGTGAGCACAGATCTCTTCCTTTCTCTCCCTCTCTCTGTAACTTGGCCTTTCAAATAGAACAAGGCATTATTACAGTGGCTGTTGAGTGATGACTGACTCCCTGCCTCAGGCCTGCTGATGGAACTTAGGGCTGCTCACGTACCTTCAACTCATCCCAGGCACTGTCATTCCTGTTGCCGAGAAGCAAGCTGCAGACGGTCGCTTCATCAGGAATAAGGTGAAGAAAATGCTTGGAGCCAAACTGAGCAGGGCACACATTTTTCACACTTCCGTAACTACTGAGGGACACGTGGCCTAGGGAACCAATAGGCTGTGTTCCTGTTTATTGAAGTTCAGAAAACAAAATGTATGAATGAAGGTGGAGCAAACAGTCCCTTAAAGCCAGCTGGCTTACACCTACCAACGTAGAGTTGGCTTAAACAGACCATGGAACATGAAGAAACCACAAAGCCCATCATCCTAATCCTATGAAATCTGTACTATCCTGCAGTCAAAATGATATGCAATCCAGGACAAGGACACAGGCCTCTTCCACCACCTGCCAGAGAAGCTAGCTTGCACTGTCTTCTTAGAAAGACACGAACTTGTCTATTTTCAGAGTGTCCAGGGAGTCTGAAAGCCCATTCAAGGGTCTGAGACCCTAAATCTCAAGTTTTCACTAGTCTGGAAAAGGACAGTGTGGGAGGGGGCAGCCATGTTACAAATCAGCATTTTGTAAAACAAAGATGGCCTAATATTTCTGTAACTGGATTCCTCCAGGGCTCTTGTGAGCATCCAAGTGTTTTTTGTTTTGTTGTGTTTTGATGCTGCATGTGAATGGTTACCTTAAGTTTTCCCAAACAAAATACAGCATTTCACTGTTATTTTTTGAGATGCTGTTTTTTTATCCTCCCAGCAGCAAAGGTAAAATTATCCATTTACAAGTTAACAAAATGAATAAAACAGCAGTTAGGATGATCTGAATGCTTCTAATTATACTAGAAAGTCACCTAGATTAATTTTAAGAATCAATAGTGCTAGTTTAGGTGAAAACTGTGTTTTTGTTGTTGTTGTTTTTGAAGATTTATTTATTGTTATTGCAAAGCTGGATACACAGAGGAGGAGGAAAGACAAAGATCTCTGCTGGTTCACTCCCCAAGTGGCCACAATAGCCGGAGCTGAGCCAGTCCAAAGCCAGGAGCCTGGAGCCTGGAGCCTCTTCCAGGTCCCAAAACTTTGGGTTGTCCTCCACTGCAAAGAGGGGCTGCCGGGATTAGAACCGGCGCCCATATGATATCTGGTAGCGTGCCAGACAAAGACATTTTTAGTTACTAGGCTATAATGCTGGGCCTGAAAAGTGTTAATGAACAATTCATCACTCTGAAATAATTTATTTTCTTCCAAATTAATTGAATTACAATGTCTAAAAACTTCTCTAGCTCAAAAAATTAATAGAAACTAATCCCTGAAGAGTCTCATTTGTTTATTGTTTCTTCTATATACATGAAGCCTCCAAAGCTAGGGACTGAGTAGTGACTTAACATTTAAGAAAGGGGTGGGTATGTGGTTGCGGTGGCTGCCTGGGTTACCAATAAGCTGCACTGGATACTTGAACTTCACTCCCAGCCTCCCTCCCTGTGGCACCATCCTGCTAACAGGCCCTGGGACCCTAGCATTCACTTTGTTGACTTCTGGGGTCCTGCCTCGGGCCTGGCCTAACCCTCACCGGGGAGGGCATTCGGGGATGAGCAACAGTCAATAAAAATCTGCTTTCTTTTCTCTAATACAGTACAGATGCACAGATGGAAACAGACACTGGCCTGAATTCTGACTGCTTAGAAGTTACTGGCCACTGAGCAGGTTCCTCCTATTGAAGCTTTTTGATGGCATCTTGGGCCATGTGCATATTCCTCTTTACCTTGTCTCAGAAGTCTCACTTCTTCCAGGAACCCAGACAGAATCTGGAATTACAGCTATGTTTTGGGTACATATGGATAAAGTAACAATTGTGGGTTGATGTGGAAGCCTAGTTCCTGATTCTGTTAGTGTTTGTGTAGGAAAATGTTCCATATTCTGAAAACTAACCTGGAATACCCAATAATCACAAATTTTCAATGGCCAGATTCATGAAAACTATCATATACACAAGGCTGAGTCTGAGCTACAACATCAACTCTAAGTTCCAAAGACAATTTCCAGTATTTCTTAATAATTTTCCACTGTGCCATATGACAGTTGAATAAAGGTAGGGCAGAAGCCCAAACGTATTATGTAGATAACAATAAAGCCATAGCGAATTTCTAAAAACATAACAGCTGCAATCAGTGTGGACCTAATCATCTTTCTGGTATGCTGTCAGTGTGGTTAAAGCTGATGAAAAGTGTCTCAAATCAGGAACTTCTCAGCTTAGTGTTTTTCTAAGTGTGTAAATATAAACCTTACATGTGCTTTTAATTTGCTGAGTTTGTGAAATACAGTGAGTGTCTTGCCTATGAATACATAATCCTGGATGCTATTAATGTAAAATGAATATTTTACTCAATTCAACCAAGTCTTTTGGACACGTGCTGGAGGCCAGGCCTGGTAAGGGTGTTGAGACCAGATGGTGCTGGGTACCAAGCTACGTTGGAAATATTTCTGTGCAAGATGTGCACACACAGATCCTCCCTCCCTGCCATTTCCAATAGTTACCCTTAGGCAGTGGAGGCAAACGAGCCTGCTGAAGTCATGATAAAAGCAAAAAGAGGGCTATTCTCATTGCAGAATTACCTTTTGCATGTTAGCATGATTTACACGGTTTAGCAAATTCAACTAAAAGAATTCTGTCATTTAAAGATTTATGATTATGAGGACATTAAGACTTCCTCTTGTAAATTACTTGGGAGTTAGATTTGTTATAGAATCTGCAGCAACACTGGGGGCTAAAAAAATACACAGACAATGGCATAATCGACTCCACTGGTGGTGAGTGAACAATGCTGCTTTTTCAGAAATATGCCTTGCGGCCAGAAGCAGAACTCACACAGCGTTGGGGTTGGCGGCTTCTAGAATTGTTCACCATGTTACAAGCGACACAGAGCCAGGCTGTCTGCTCACAGAGTGTGACTTATTAAGTGTAAGGGGCCAAGACCAAGAGGTAACTTTTACCTGTCACCATCCTCAGGGGTTCCATGAGAGTCACTCCAAGCCTGTCTATGACAATGATGCGATGTGAACTGAGAAGCTGTTTCAGAGACGGGTGAACGACTTTTTGGCACAGCACAAGATCCACATGGTCACAGACCAGCTGCCTTCCTAGCCTAAGCAACTGGTCCAGGACTGCCTGTTCAAGAGAGACCCCCTGACTGACCGTCACGGTTCCTTTTCCAGTGTCAGAAAAATCTCCAGATAAAGACATGCCAAAAAGAGCCACTTTCAGGACACTTGATTTTTTGAAAGGCAAGATTCTCCTGAACTGGACTTCTGACATTTCGATGAGTATTCCGGGTAACACAACAGAATCCATTACGCTGTGGCCTTTCAAAGGCACAATTATGGCCTTTCCTAACACGAGGTGGTCTTCAGCAGTTTCTGGAATCATGAGCAAAAAGGCTCTCAGAATCACAGAGCTGATGTGTTCTATTTCCTTTCTGGTGAGCATACAGGCAGGCTTGCTTGTTAGTACACTGCGCACCAAGCACAGCAGGATCTGGCTGCGACTGAAGTCTACCGGGATGCGGCAGCGGCAGGCCTCCGACCGGAGGTAATTGGTGCAGAGACTCAGCAGGCATTTATTTACCTTAACAACAGTGGCAGGGGTCAAGCCCAGCCGCTGATCGCTCTCAATCAGGCTGCAGCTGAGGATGGCTGTGAACAGGCCGCAGTCCCCGAAGCAGGCTGCCTGATTCTGCACAGCGGTCCTCAGGATCTTTAGCAGGGGGTGAGTGACGGCCAGGTGGCCGAGCAGGGCCGAGGACTGGGAGCTTGTGCACATGTAGCCTCCGTGGCCGTTGTGCACCTGCTTCAGCCTCCCCGAAGGGCCGTAGCATGATGCTGTGATGCCCTTCAGGACAGACAGAGCGGCCCTGACCTGCTCGTGCGCCAGTGGCTCACCTGTACACAGTGATGGCTTCTTAGCTTCTAAACGAGACATGGCACTTGAGGTGGTCACTTGTGGAGACAGTTTCTATTTTGTTAACCCTAGTTTTCTAGTTATTCCACTGACACTGTATTTTTAGCAAGGAGGAAAGAGAAGCTATCCTTTTGGAATGAAAGTCTGAGTATATAGCATTGAGACTATAAAATTAAATAGTTCTATGACTGTGAACTAGAAAGTACATGGAAAGACTTAGTGACATACTAGTGATTTCAAATATTTATTTTACTTCATTCTTCAATACTCTTCTGCTGGCTTCCAGACTGAGATTTTACGGACTGCTTGGCAGCCCTCTGTAGAAGGTACGTGCCCAGATGGACACCTATGAAAGCCACCCCGGCTACAAGAAGCCAGTTCTTCCTGATCCAACTGGTGTTTTTCATCTCTTCTTTCAATGTCACGGTCAGATTCAAAGTGGCTTCTTTCTATAAGAAATTAAAAATCAGACATTTTAGATGACTAACTCTAAAACATTTTATAGTCCTTTTTTTTAAAAAAAAGATTTATCTATTTTACTCGAAAGTCAAAGTTTGAGAGAGGAAGAGACAGAAAGACCCCCCATCTGCTGGTCCAAAGCTGGGAGCCAAGAGCTCCCTCTAGGTCTCCCACATCAGTACAGGAGCATTAGGCTTAGGGCTATCCTCCGCTGCTTTTCCAGGCCATTAACAGTGAGCTAGATTTGGAGTGGAGTAGCTGGGACTTGAGCTGGTGCCCATATGGGATGCCGGTGCTCCAGGCGGAGGATTAGAATTCTTCGCCATCACGCCAGCCAGTGTTGTTCCTTGTTAAGGAGCTACCAATGTGCACAAGCCTCCCTTAAATGAAAAAGGTAAACCAATCTAGACTTAAGATTTCTTTTTCAATGGATTCTCCCTAGAAGAAAAAGCATTTAGAAACTGGTGTCATAACACTGCATGTGGTATCAGCATCCCGTGAGTGCTACTTTGAGTCTGACTACTTCACTTCCAATCCAGCACCCTGCTGACGGTCTTGGGCCCCTACTCTCCAGTGGCGATCCAGACAGCGTTCTGGGCTCCTGGTTTCCGCCTTGCTTAGTCCTAGCTGGAGAGTGAGCAGTCCTGGGGAGTGACATGATAACTTGTGGAAGAATACCACTGTCAGGCCACAGACCTTAGCCACTGAGGCCCAGCACTTTCAAAGTGAAGGTTTAGCCAATTATTGTTTATTTTCAGGAATGTTAACTGTGCTGAGCTACTTGGAGTAGCTCACATAAATAAAACAACTTTGCATAAAATACTTCCTAAACTATGGTATTTACAGTAGAACAGAGTAAAACAGTGATTGCAAGATGCACACAGAAGAGGCGAGAAGGATGAGGGAAAGTTATGTAAAATGTTATTTTGGTTAGTGCTTTTGATTTAGCTAAAGGGCTATAACCATGGCAACCGGGTCCAAAGAAAGCAAAGGCAATGAGGGCCTGTTTCCCTCACCTCACAGCCCGCCCGCCGCCCACCAATGATACTGTAATAGTTACTGTTTTTAACAGCATGAGAAAGGCAAAACAAATCTGTTTCTCTTATGCCTACAGTTAAGGTACTTAAATCTTACTTCAATAGTTATTCCAGTTCAGAAGATCTGAAAAATATACTTAGATGTAGCCTTAGCAAAGTGACTTCTATATGGTAATTGCACATTAAAACTATAACAGGCACATACACCACAGCAGAAACCATGATCACTAAGATGAACTTTGTGGTACAAACTGTTCCCAACATGTACAACGCCAGGTTGGCCACTATCGGTCTGACGCTGTTGAGCCCGGTAATGACCTCTTCCAGAGAATATTTCTATAAAAAGAGAAAGGAAGAAACGACTGAAAGTCTGACATGCGGGCTGGCACCTTGGCACGGTAGGCCAAGACTCCATATCGGCATCCCGTAGGAGCTGGTTCAGGCCCTGGATGCTTCCGATCCAACTCCCCAGCTACAGCCCGGTAAAGCAGCAGGGATGGCTCAAGTGCACGTGTACCTGTACCCATGTGGGAGACCTGGAAGAGGCTCCTGCCTCCCGATTTCGGTTGGCCTAGTTGTGGCCATTGAGACCCATCTGGGGAGTGAACCAGTGCATATAAGATTTCTCCTTCTTTTTCTGTAGCCCTGCCCTTTTTTTTTTAAGATTTATTTTTTTAATTATTGGAAAGGCAGATTTACAGAGAGTAGAGACAAAGAGAAAGATCTTCTATCCAGTGGTTCATGCCCCAATTGGCTGTAATTGCCGGAGCTGAGCCGATCCCAAGCTCCTATATGGGACTGCGAGTGGTGCAGACTGATGTCTAGCCTACTATGCCATGGTGCTAGTCCCTCTACATCTTTATTTCAGTGACCTAAGAGTAATACAGTATTTTGTAGTTAAATATTAGTTGCTAAGGATTTGATACAACTATTTTTATTTTCTGGGCAAAAACAGTAAGTTTTGCCAGTTTCCGCCTTTTATGCTATGCAATAGGGTTTACAGCAAAGAGTCCACCGTTCCTTTGTACATATTCATGACCCTGCTGACACTGCTATCAAGACACCCCAGCCCTTTCCATTCAAATGCCTGCCAGTTAACTGTCAATGCTTTGTGCGCAACCAGCTTGTCTAGGAGCAAAAGAACCGTATCTTTGTCAGTGGGCACTAATAGCAACAGCAGGTAACTTCCTACTTTAGGCCTTTTCATTCCAGCCCTAGAAGATCAAGTTTCCCATTACTGGCTCACACTCACAGAGTGTGCTCAGACTGAATGGAGCTTACCTGCGGATGGCAAGTCTGCTATTTCCCCGAGGCTGGGCTCTTCTGTAGACCTGCGAGCGCCAGGCTGTCTGGCTCAGGACTGCCGTCTCTGCTTGGGACTTGGAAAATAGGGCTGCTTCTGATTCGGTGCCACCCCAGGTGTATGAGCCCGACCAGAGGTACCATAACAATCACAACCTTGTAGTCCTTCCAGAGGGTATGGAAGCTCATAGTCCTTCAGCGAAGGAGCCCCTGGGAGGACAGGAACAGAACAAGCACCGTCAGTGTGTCTGAGGGCAGGACAGGGACAGGCGCCCGCAGTGCCCTGGGAGGGGGACAGGGACAGGGACAGGGACAGGCACCGGCAGTACCCTGGGAGGACAGGGACAGGCACCGGCAGTGCCCTGGGAGGGGGACAGGGACAGGGACTGACAGTGCCCTGGGAGGGGGACAGGGACAGGCACCGGCAGTGCCCTGGGAGGACAGGGACAGGCACCGGCAGTGCCCTGGGAGGACCGGGACAGGCACCGGCAGTGCCCTGGGAGGGGGACAGGGACAGGGACCGGCAGTGCCCTGGGAGGGGGACAGGGACCGGCAGTGCCCTGGGAGGGGGACAGGGACAGGCACCGGCAGTGCCCTGGGAGGGGGACAGGGACTGGCAGTGCGCTGGGAGGACCGGGACAGGCACCGGCAGTGCCCTGGGAGGGGGACAGGGACAGGGACCGGCAGTGCCCTGGGAGGGGGACAGGGACAGGGACCGGCAGTGCCCTGGGAGGGGGACAGGGACAGGCACCGGGAGTGCCCTGGGAGGAGGACAGGGACAGGCACCGGCAGTGCCCTGGGAGGGGGACAGGGACAGGGACCGGCACCGGCAGTGCCCTGGGAGGGGGACAGGGACCGGCAGTGCCCTGGGAGGGGGACAGGGACAGGCGCCGGCAGTGCCCTGGGAGGGGGACAGGGACAGGGACCGGCACCGGCAGTGCCCTGGGAGGGGGACAGGCACCGGCAGTGCCCTGGGAGGAGGACAGGGACTGGCAGTGCGCTGGGAGGACCGGGACAGGCACCGGCAGTGCCCTGAGAGGACAGGGACAAGCAAGCCAGAGCATAAATGTACTACCAAGTCACGTGGACAGCATATGACACCCTAATACTAAATCAATAATCAAAAATCAAAGTCAACATTTTTAGTTCCATTGCAGTGTTAATTAACAAGAAGAGATATATGGACAAACACAAAAATGTGACTGGGATTCGGGCTTGGGAAACTTGCCAAGCTGCAGTAAACTTAGTCAACCACTAGGAAGAACGGCAGTGTCTGCTGGGGGAGAGCGCTGAATCTGGCTGGTGACACTTACCTGTGGGATGTTCTTTATAATTATCATTCATTCTATTCTCTCTGAACCACAACTAAGCTTGAATTTTTTTAGGGTTACATTTAGTTAAGATTTTAACAGGAGAATTAAAATGTTAGTTCCAAAATATACAGTAAGAATTAAGGTTCTGTGTTATGATAGAACGTAAGTAAAGTTCTTGCAACTGAAAACAGCCAACCAGAGATTCCAATAGAAGCATCAGACTTTTGGGTGTGCGTGCTGTGAATCAGAATGAATTCATGTTGTCCCCAAGGTATGTGCCCCATTATCAAATTTTTGAATGTGTTTCCCCAACTCCTGGTACCCCTCTGGTCCAGGGTTACGCAGCTTACACAGACAAACTGAGGCCAGAAAGTTAGCTGGAGGGGCAACCCTAGCCACTGCTGGCATCTGAGGAGTGAACCAGCAAGTGGGAATGCTCGATTTTCTCTGCTTTTGTCTCTCAATCAAGTAAATTAAAAATCATCACTGGTCTTCTTTCAGGAATTCTCAAAAGATACGAATTCGGTCCAGAGTGGGCAGTGCATGAGGGTGAGAACATTTAGGAGTGTCCCCAGGACACTCGGGGGTCCCGAGACCTAGCCCAGCACACCCCGACTGGCAGGGTCTTTGGATTCTCACGTCAACAGAGGCTCTGTGCCAACTCAGACAGATTAGAAGGAGTCTGTGTCCCCCGAAAGCACATCTGTCACCAGCTGAGCTCAGCGAGGTCCAGCTCTTTTCTTCAGTTTAGATGCCGGTGCACAGCCAACACCAAGAGATTAACCAAAGGGGAGAGAGTTGGCTGTGTTCTGGGTCAGGACATGCAGCTACATGCTTCTACAAACGCTCCTGCGCTGCAAGGCATTACTGCAGCCAGGACGGCAACTCTCCTCCACGGCCATTGGCCATGCAC